TTTTTCTCTCTCTCTCCCTTGATGACAGAGGTAATAATTGATATTGCCTGCACACAGTAGCCTGAATTCCATGGCACAAATTTTCTCTCTTCTCTTGATGTTATTAAACAAGTTACTGTCTTGATGTTTAGCTATCAACATTTTCTGCCTATGTAACATTAATGTAAAAGAAATAAATTTTGTAAAAATCAGCCTCCATAGCCAGAGTTACTATTTTAATTGAATTTGTGAAAAAAAAATAAAAATAATCAGCAAACCACTGCCATTCTGCTTTCCTAAATTTAGTGGCAAGTTTCAGATTTTACCTGCTTGGAAAAGAAAGATATTTCAGCATTTGAAACTACTCATCCAACTACTGAAATTAACTGCAACTATCAGTCACTGTGAGTACTTTTTATCTATGTCACTCTCTGAAAGCAGTGAAAGTAAAAGTGCAGAAAGGCAAAGGCTCTAGAGTAAATTTTGACAGATGGGTACTAGCAAATAACTTTTTGCTCCTGTTAGCTATTAGAAGGTTGCAGCCTTTGATGTGTTGGCAAGAGTGATCTTGATGAGGAGGTTCTTTCAGAAGGTTGTACCAATTCTTCACCTGTTCTCACTTGGGCCTGCTGAAGCTGATGAAAATCTTTCCAGGGAATTCCATAGGCTTTGAAATTGGGTGTAAGCTAAACATTTACAGGTTTGCAAGAGTTTAGCATGTGCTTTCTTCTGGCAAAGCAGTACTGATGCTCACAGAGGAAGGAAACTGCTTTTAAAATTACATTAAAAATACTAAAGTGAGTTTGATTGAGAATTAGGTTTAGGAATAATGAATTGGCATGGTGTCCTGCTAGAGCACCAGTACCCATGCATGTGCCTTGCTGGACTTGCAGAGAACTGTGGTCTGCTGCTCTTTTGACTGACGTGTCCCAGTTGAGACAGTGCAAAAGCCAGGGGGAGCACTGGGAAGGAAGAAGTAGAAATGTTTGTGTTATGTGGAGCTGTTTGGTTTGGCCCTCAGAAGAACAGAGCACAAGTTAGAAGCAAGTGCTCCTAACACAGGTGGTCAGAAGGTGTGTAATAGCCAGTACAGCTCTTCTCCTCTCTTCTTGTGTTTCAGAACAGCCTGGAAAGTGGGGATGCCCCTCTCCTTACAGGTACCAACCACAGGCTTCAGCCCCCTTGCCTAGGAATGAAACTCAAATCTCTCCTTTCAGCCTAAATGTCTGAAACTGGCTTTAGGCCACTATTTAGAAACTGTCTAGTCCCTGGGAAAGAGCCAGGATTGCACAGCTCTTTGGCAGATGTTGGTGCCCATCTGTCCTCCAGGGAAAATGCTGGACTTCAAATTGAAAGTGGCTGCAGCTGCTCAACAGCCCTGGCTGTGGCAGCTGTCAGACACACACCTGCACCAGGTATTTTCCAGCTGAGAGAAAAGAGCCTTGGCAAGGCCCTTGATAGGATTGCCCCCCATGTGCACCATGCGTCTGCCAGGGGGAACCTCACTCTGCCACTGAGGATGGTGGGGCAAGGGGCAGGCTTGCCAAAAAGTGGCCTCTGTTTTAGCTAATGTTGTTTTGACTGAATCTGAAAGGCTTGGACCTAAAGCCATTCCTCGAGAGTCATCCCTCTCCTTCACAGCAGTAAGCAGACTCTGCCCACATGCCCAACATCTGCTGGCTGAAGCTGGGAGTGCCCGGTAGTGACCTGTGTCTTCTCTCTGTCACTCCCTCCCACTTTTCTAGCATAAAGCTTTGTGTGCATCACACTGCTACTATTAAATGTTCATTACATTAACTTGATGGTAATATTTGAAGATCTTGCTGCATAAAATCTCCTGTTGGGTCAGTTCCACTGTTAGTAATTATGGGTGAGGATCTGTCTTCATGCACACACTCTGAGTGTATTTTTAGGCCCTTCTGTTTCCTCCCCCTGGTTCGGATTGCTGTCTCCATCTCTCCCACTCATGATACAAGCAATAAATCTAAACTCAGGGCTCTTTCTGTCTGCTGGCAGGAGAAGATGAGTAACAGTGACAGAGGAGATGAGAAAGCCTCCCTTGCCATGCACTGGCGTACACAGCCTGTGCTGTGCCAAGGTACAAAAAAAATTCAGCATTTCTGATTAGAGTTGCAAGTCTCCTGGCGAGACGCTTCTGCAAGCTCATGGAACCTGGGAAACAATTATTCCAGAGCCTTTATATGCACTGTGTGCTGGGTCTTCCAGCAATGCACAAGCAAATTAATGTTCTGCTCTTTGTTTCTTGGCTGTGGTCGATGTAACCTGTGGCCAGGATCATATATTTTACAGCATGCTCCTATCCTGTGGCACCAGCCTTGAGCGTTTCAGGTTTTTTCTAGGGGTGTAGATAAACTCTCTCTACTAGTGGTGGCAGCTGAACCCTTGCAGACATAATTAGGGGTGAACTGGGCGCTCTCAAAAATATCTTTCCCCTTGGCTGGTTGATGAGCAGGTTGTGCTCATCAGCCTTGTGGAGAGGGAGAGGGCAGTGACTGACTTCAGAGCTGAAAGTTAGGTTTCTGATCAATATTTAAAATACTTAAATCACAAGGATCTGTTTGCTGTGTGAAGCTGGGCAGCTTCTACAGAGTCAACTTCTGAGTTTAAACATACTGCACTATGACCAGCGATTCTCCACAATACAGTAGGATTTATTAATAGAAAATACGTCAATATGAGTTTGTCTTTGTACATGTTAGCAACATGTACAGTGAAACACTTTTTTTTTTCTCAATCTATATTGTTATAGTTCTTTTGTGTTATCTGACATAACCATTTATATTTTGGGCTTAAATATGTTATTTGTCAAAATGTACTTTCAGTGTTAATATACCTTTAAAATCATAGTTTATCTTTCAAATATTGAATTAATATTATTTTTTTTTCAAATCAATATTGCTCATGTTAGTGCAAATTTGTTAAATCTTGAGATAGGTTAACCATTCCTTCCAGACCATAAACAGCATTTAATAAAACAGTGAGATTTATATAGCTCTACACAGCTGAACAAGATTCTAATACGAAGCTTGTTAAAAAAAAAAAAATCCGACATTTTACAGTACATCAATTGCATTTTATACATTTTTTTTGAACAGTTTTGTTTCTTCTCTATTTCTGTGTGTGATCTAGTACAAGAATGAAGGGAACAGCAATAGGTAATGATACTTTCCTCAGTATTAAAAAGAATGCATCATATATATCTTGCTCTGTATGGCAGCAGTGTTGTATTTCCAAACCTGGAAAAGAAGCCAGGAAATTCAACACCTTCTCAAAACCCAGTACAGCAAGAGTGAACGTTACCAGTCGAAGCACTTGCCACTACAGAAAAATGGAAACAAACCAATACAAAGTATAGACAAAAGGTATTTTATGCCACGTCATCAATCCAGAATCTCTCACTTGAGCAATGGTCAACATTTGACTCCAAGTAATTCCTAAGAGGAGCTGAAAGAGGGCAATGTGGGCATTTCAGTAGTTTGAAGAATGGAAATATATCCAACTTACAATGATCTCCTGTCCTAAGAGCTTCAAACAGAATGATGCATCCCCTCGGCCTGTTGGCCAACCTGTGCCTGGAGAGCTGCACCAGCCTGCTGCTTGTCAGGCAGTCAAGAAGAACTTCCAGCTGCGAGTGACATTCTTTATTAAAAAAAAGTTTTTATACTGAAAATGTGCTTTGTTCAAAAGAGCACTGCAAATGTCACTTATTAAAATCAATGTAATAAATAAAATATAAACAACCTGTGTCCAAAACTATGAATAGTATTTTTATCTACCTCACTATACATCTGGCCCACTGTGCCCCTCCCACCCACCCTTTCTGAAATTTTTTAAAAAGTTTTTTGCATGCTATTTTTTTTTCCCCTTGTTTACTACAAAGAGCAAAGGTTACATATCGTACACTGGGAAAAGCTGCCCAAAAGATTAAACTATAGTCCTAGATTACCAATAAACCAATTCTACATCACAATACCCGCCTGCATGAACTACTTGGGCTGCATCCTATAGAGCAGGTGATGACTTGTGAGAGACGTCTCCCCCTGGGCACAGCCAGAAGTGCGCCAGGTGATGTTAAAACTATTACAGTGACTAACCACAGAAATGTTTGCAACCTAAAACAAATTCCTTATTGGCAATTTAAGCAATTTACAACTACTCCATTAGTTGTGGGTCTTATGCTCTGAAAACTGTATGCTGAACTGTTTGTTGCCTGAATCACAGAAATGAAGAAATGCTTCTATTTTTCCTTCCAGCATTACAAGTGCTAGGATGAATATGACACCTCTTCTGGCCTCCTAGCCTATGTAGCTGTTTTTTACTTCTAAAATGAAAAAAAAAAATTCTCTGTCCCTTACATTTTTTAGAATTTCACTTTAAATGCACAGAAATGGTCTTTATTATCATATTTGAGGAATGTGTTCTGGGTGTTGGGTTTTATTTTTGGTATGGGTTAAAATAAATGATTGTCCTAATGGTTCAAGAATTGGACCCTTCTGTAGTCAAAAGAGTTTGGAGAGTCCAGATTAAAGTCTGATGGGTCTCAGTTTTTCATTCCCTCAGGGAGATGGCAAGATCAAACTCTGCCTTCCTTGAGCACTTACTGGTTGGTGGCTGGAGAGTAATGAAATTTCCTCAAGAGGAGATCGAAAGATGTTATTTTAAAGGAAATGGCATCTAAGGGTGATGGAGTTGGTGATAAAAAATCAGCTACCCCTTCTTCTGTGAGCATGTGGCCTAGCAATGTTGAATTGCTATCGATGGTTACGGAAGTGAGTCAGAGAAAGCACATACTGGAGTTTCCACTGTTTAAAAGAACTGAAAATCAAACAAAAACTGAAGCTTAACAAGGAGAACATTGGATGAAAAGAAGTCTTACGCCACACAAACACACACACTCAAACACATGCACACGGAATACTATGCATACATGGACACACACGAGTAAGAATGTGTATTTGTATGGTAGGCTCTTGGAAATAGACATTCTTAGCAAATATGGATGACAGATCAATTGTAATTTATTTTCTTTTAACACTGTATCATCATAAAGAAAACTGGTATAAATGAAAAAAAATCTATTTCAAATATCTACATCTAAAATTTTAGGCAGTGAAAAAGCACTTTGTTGACAAGGAGTGTGGAATGATGAATGTTAATTGTCAGAAACTGCTGAATGCCTTTTTTTTGAGTTGCCACAAACAAAGTCACATATCAGAACAAACAATACTGCTAAATATTCCTTTTTGTTTTTTTGATTTTTTTTTGCTTTTTTTTTTGTTAAAACGCACCGGGGAAAAGAAAACAAAAAACTGGAAATTCATACATCTTTCAAAATTTGAAATTGAAGCAATATTTAGAACCATAGATGAAGAAACACTGTGGCATTGGTGTAATATACACAATGCACCTTTTTTTTTTATCTGTAATGTACATCAAATACTTTACAACAATGCATTAACAAAAGGCAAGAAACATCTTGCTGTACAGAGGAAACCCCAAATGCAACTTGAAGCCTAGATTCACAATGAATGAGGATATTAAACAAGGTGTGAGAAGCTGTTCCCCATAAAGTATGTATGCTGCTCAGTAACTTGTGCTTAACTCTTGACCCAGATCCACTGTCATGTTCTTCCTCCTTCCTTCAGCCACGTTCAATATACAGCACTGAACTTTAGACTCTACAGGCCAACAGTAAAGTTGCCCCACACTGTAAAATATATATATGTATATATATATTTCTTTCTAATTACTCCCAAGTTTAGCTTTCATATCTTTTAGCCTTCTAAAAAAATCTCTTAATTTTCTCCATACTGGTTATCTGTGCCTTCCTATGGAACAGGCTTTAACAAACTAAATTTGCAGGAAAAAAAATGTCTCGTGGTATGCATGCACATGCACAGTTCCTGGAGCTTTTGTATCTGCCCAAGTCTCAAACCCAGGAGTCGGGAGAGGCTGGATAGTGGCTTGTTTCATAGTTAAGTTCACTATAGGGACGAGCAGCTGAGTAGAAGTCGACGTAGTTGCCAGTTGACTTTAGTCCCAGGTGCATGTTGTATTCGCTTGCAGGTGGACGATGATGCACTTGGTCCTCAAAGAAGGACTCGTCATAGTTTCTTGTTGAATTCTGAAATGACTGATATGGTTCATAATCTTTTCTGCTGGGCTCCTGTGGAACTGGCTGTGTTGAAACCTGAAAGACAGCAATACCCACAGCTTGTTAGATACAGCTTGTAGGCAACAGGATGGAAGGAGTTAATCTCGCTTACAATTCTCATGCTAAAAATACAAAATTGTGCATTAAACCTAAGGTTGCCATACTTTTTTTTCTCACACCCCTAGTGAATCTCTGATTTTATAGCTGAGACTTTATTGAAATCTGAAATGTATAAACACATGCTTACTATCCTAGAAGACTATCCCCTGCTTCATGCCACCTCTGTAAGGTGGGACAGAGTTTATGGCTGCAAAATGAGGTAGCCTGTCATTCCTCAGATGATTATCACTAGGAATACTGATGCTCAGACACCAATGTAAGAATACTTTGTGGCTCCTGCTGCTCTGTACACGTTAGTAATGTTCCTTCAAGATGGCAGGAACAGTCACACTGCTATGACCCAAACCCCTTGATATTTGTTCAGAACAAGTATCTGTATTGCACTCTAAGAAGGGATTGAGAAAGGCGCCTAAGTTCACAACTTTTAGCCATCCCACAAGTGATGTTACAAGTTTTGATCTGATATTACAACTGCACAAGAGAGTGTAACTACTCTAGTTTCTATTTCTAGAACTGCTATCAAGGAGTAAATGACCTTCAGGACCTCATTTCAGTTCCCATATTCAAATACAGGTGTTTGATTTGGACACACAAGTAAAATTCTACCTGAAGCAATCTGTTTATTTGTGATGTTTTTAAATTTTTCCTATTTCCATACACAGTGTTGCACCAGTCTTTTGCCATCTGGAACAGTAGCATTTTAGTCTCTGCACTTACCTGGTTATGTTTGATATCTTCAGCAGGCGCACCATATGAATTCCTGTACAAAGTTGAGATTCCAGTGTTCTGAGCTGAAGAGAGAGAAAAAGCAGGTTTACCAAACATACCTCTTTGGCCTCAAACTGAATTCTTCATTAAGTACATCATACAAAGCCTGTTTCCCACACACAAAAGTCTTTAAAAGCATCTGCAGGCTTTTCCTCCCGCTGAATGGTCATCATCTTTGCTTTGGTGTACATACATCTCTTTGGTATTCATTTATTAATGGTAACAGGCTCCATGTCATGCTCATAACAATCTTGTGCATTTCTTATATGCATCAACAAAATAATTTCATATAAATCTAGCATTCAATAATAAATTTCAGGTTATAGATGGGCTTATGTAACACATGTAACAAACTGCAGCTGTAAATATTAAGAAGCATTTCAGTTCTTTCACTTCAGTTGGACAATGTGGATCATTAATCCTACAGTCATTTTGCTTTATCATGAAATTATTCAAGCATAAAGTGATTAAATATAAGTCACAAAAAAGTTATGCAAAAAGTAATATGCAGTTATATGGAAAAGGTCTGGCCAAGACAGTCTCAAATACATGACTGCCGTCACTGCTGCCACTTTCTTCTCAGATGTCCTACTACTCAAATGCACAGACAAAACTGAGCCACGAGTTTGAAACTGGAAGTATTTCTAAAGAGGAGGATGATATACAGTCTTGCAAAAATTTATTTTTGACCCCATCCCAAAAAACCCCAAATGAAAAGCAAAGGATTTTCCTTGCAAAGCTGACTCCACCGATCCCTCTGATTTGGCAATGTAGCTGAAGCTTAGTTTGCTGGTAAGACTTGAAAGACTGTAGTTACTTCTCACATTTGAAAGACTATGAAGATAGAATTTTGTGTGGCTGCTGCACCCTTTTCATGCATTGTTAACTTTCCAGACACTCTAACCAATGACTGAATGCTGTCTGTATGTTATGAGGACTCTTACTATAAAAGAACAGGCCTGAAAGTAAAAACTGAGTAGCTGTGAATCAGAGTCACTAGTGGAACTGAAACACATGGCTCGTGACCACTCTCAGGTCTCTGTGCAATGGCAAAAAACCTGGAGGCACAAAGAGTGGCCTTTAATACTTTCACAGCTCAAAACTTGGGATGGCAAGTGCTGAGCATCAGAGTTGAAAGCTGGACATGGGATCCATGCCAGTCACATCACTAGGAAGAACCACATTTACGAAGATGTAAGGATTCTTTCTTCCTTTGGCAATGTGCAAACATGGACATCTGCATGTAAAACTTCCTCTACCTTTCCTCCCACCCCTGCACCCTTTCTGGAGAAAGGAATGGCATGGCCTTCAGCCAAAGCTGACTGGAATACATCAATTCGGGTCTTCACATCTGCCATGGGTTCCATGTTGAGGGTATAATTTTCGTCAGTTTGATGCACTGTTCCATGTTGCTGCTTTACAGATCTCAGATGTTTTTTCTTAAAGATCTGCACTATGTTTGTAAAAACAAGATAAAGGCAGGGCTTATATTGTGGCTTGATGAGCTCTAACAGCTGGAAAAAGAGACTTTTCATTTCACAGCCATTAATTGATAGGGGTGAAACCCCTCTTGTTCCTTGAAGAGCTGGATGCAATAACTAAGAAAGTGCAGAATCCTGTGCAGGAAATGGAGAAGAGCCCCAGAGGTCTCCAAGTGCAGCATGACCCTTTTTTTTAAGGTGGCAAGAATATGAACTCTAGTGACAGATGCTGGTTGGGCCCCTCCTGTGGTAGATACTTTTAATTCTACCTGTCTGCCAATAGGCTGCAACAGATAGAAACAGGGGAAATGATAGAAAGTAGTGCTTGAGTAGTTTTCTTTGGTTGTCAACAATAATGTCAAAGAGTTGATCTGCAGAAATTCTCACTGTTCAGGTTACATTTTGTCACTTAGGGATTTTTGAGACTTGGTTGTTATTTCAGTGGGTTTCTTTATATTCCAGCTGCAGCCTCTGCTGTAGTGTTTGAGAATACCCCTCCTGATCATCTTTAGTATTAGAGAAGTTTGCATCAACATTGCTCTTTATGGTGCATCTCATGACAACACAACTCTCTGTAGTACAGCTGCCAGATCTTTCCTTGATATCATCTTTTTAAGGCTGTTTTTCTGATTTTCTTGCTTGTCCCACAAAATGCCAGAAGAAGTTTTGTTATACAAATTTCTCTTCTCAAGATCTAAAGATACTCAAGTGTTTCAGATATCCATTTTGGGAAGTCCTAGTTCTTGAAAAAACATTAAGTGACATTCAATGTATCAGACTGTCCACAGATGGAGGAAGAACTTCTTGTAACCATTTTGCCTTTATGAACATATGTGCCAAGACAAGTGGGTTGGAAGTTTCATGCATGTAAATTTCTAGTCAGACATGACTGGACATATTGAGTTCAGACAGGTCAATGCTGTTCCTGGTTGTTTGATGTCAAGAGCAAAAGACTGGTATGAGGTGCAACTGTAATCTGAGGGTATTGTGACGAATATGATGAAAAATAGGAAACTGGACATGCTAATTTGCTTGTTGTTCCTTCAGGCAATTAGACATTAGGAGGGAGGTCATGACCTTTCCATACTGAGATATACAAAGACATGTGGTACATATGTGCTGCTATTAGCCATGACTATTATAAACCTAGAAATAGTTCTGAGTTGGTGTGTAGCTGTCCAGTGCACTACTGTGACATTTGCACTGATGTGCTCACAAATGTCACATACCAGACTGAAATTTTACGGTCTCTTGGATCACATATTCTGCAATGGAAAACAGATAATTTCAGCTTATGAAAATAGTTCCAAGCTCTGTGTGGCTGATTTCACTGCAGTGATGGGGATACAAATTCAAAAGTTAAAAATGAAAAAAAAAACCAAAACTCCTCAAACCCTTAGTAATATTTTCTCAAAGCAATGAAAACAATGAGACATAAAATGCTTGACAATAAATCCCAGGACTTCAAGAATAAGAAATCTTGTCTTAGGCTAGCTTGGAGGTTGAGGTAATTTTGATTCTGGAGGAATGTAGGTCACGAATGCAGCTGCTAGCAGTGAATGCAGCCCTGCTCCAGTATCTGCTTCTGAACATGCAGGTGGAATCCCTGGGAACTCCATTCCCACTCTGCCATGATAAAGTGAGCAGTTGACTCTTGCTATCCAAAAGCAAAGGACAAATATACAAAAAGGAGAGAATGAGCTAGATAAATTGACAGATAGTGTGGTTAACATCTGATTTTTCCTGATAATATTATATATTTACCATTATAATAAAACTGTAAAACAAATGGAAAGAGAAGTCAATAGAGTATTTTTTAAAAATAAAAATGGCAATAGAAGGGAACGGAGAAAGAAACAGATATTTCTGCAGCCACATTTCTTCACAGAGATATGAGAACTAGCGGAAAATCAGATTAACAGAGAAGTGATCAGCGTGTGTGTTTATGTATGTATTTTATGCAGTCTCTAAACATCAGTCCATGATAATACTGAAGAGGCAAAATTGTGAGCATTCTAAAATGAATACTATGATCAACCTGCAGTACTTCGTGGCTCAATTGCATACAGGACATTATAGAAAAACAGCTTTCTTTCTCCCCTCTGTTCAGTCTTCTAGGTAATACTGGTTAAAAAAAAAGTCACATAGTTGCCTATAGCAGTTTTTTTTAAAGATGACAAAAATTGAAAATTATGTTACTCAGTGGTTTACATGTCAAAGATGTCATTGACCAAATTCATCCCCATATATCCCAGTCACTTGATTAATGGTTTAACATTCGGCTTTCAGATCTTGGACGTGCTTATTCTGAACACATTTACAGACACTTTGGAATAACAAGATGCTAGCCTTCTGCCCTCAGGAACAAACTGATAGCAAGAAAGGACAGCTCAGCTGGACAGGTAGTCATCCTCATCTGGTATCACACAACCTGCTTTTGCTACTATTAGCAGCAGGTCTCCATTTAAAAAAAATTAGTTCAACACAGTAAAGAAAAATGTTTCTGTACCTCACAAATCTTAGGTAACAGAGATCATTGCCTGTCACTACCACTGCCACCTTCCTGCACAGTGAAAAATGAGGTAAGGGCATGAGAAAAGATTACAGTGCATTATTGTTTCTGAAAATAATAATAATAAAAATAATGATAATCCGAGCACCTGTAGCACCTGATGGTGTTTTTTTTTGTGTTCCAAATATGCATGGACTTGCCAGTAAGTTAAAATAACAAAAGTATTCATGATTGATTCTCCACAACCAAAGGAAAAAGAAATTAATTAGAAGTTTTTCTCTGCTGCTGGAAGAGAAGACACAGCATGTTGACTATGATGTACATATTAGTTCACTGAGGAAACTAAAAAAGTAAAAGAAACCTCAAAGAAGGAGTCCTGTGATGGTCCATAAGGACCTTATCTTCCCTGTTCTGAAAAAAACCAACATGGCATAAATAACATTATCACGTGCACTTACAGTTCCCATTTTCCTAAACAGAATATAACAGCTTTTGTCTTAAAAATATACTTTAGGTGACAAAATTTTGTAATTGGTTATTATTTTCTACAGAGAGGAGAAAATAGACAGTACATATAAAAGGCATCATAAACCTGTGAACAGGGCAATGAAAACTTTGATACTGTGCCTCTTTTTTTTTATCTATCGTCGTGAAATCAATGTAAGTTATCATCTTCAGCCAAACTGTTTACTTCATAGATTCTCCATTTTCCCCAGAGGTTCCCTGACAAATCCTCAGGATGGCAGGAAGCCAACATTCCTACTTTGAAAATCCATCAAAAAACCTTTATTTCAGTCTCAGCTCAAAGGTCATAAAATTTTTCAACTATAAACTGAGAAGAGCTTTGGAGAAGAGCATGGAGACAAGTCATGGATAAATTGGGACTACAGCTGTGGCTCTACGCTCTGTGTAAAATCCCTAAGTCAAAGCAAGCTTTGTGTAATACATCAGCTTGGCACAAAAGTAGAAGAGCAGATCAAAATATGTGTGTGCCAGGTGGAACCTGAGAAAACATTCATCTAAGTCCCATCCACATGGATGTATCGGCTGCAATGCACTGTCTGATGCACAAAATGAAACGCAGGCATCGCAAGAAACTTGCTACATGAACTTGTATTGGGCCACTCAAGCAAAGTCAAAATGTCTCACAAAATCACAAATACTGACTTTATATGTTTTTTAAAATCAAGTATTTATTATTTAACGAGGTACAATTATGTTACATAAATTCCATGTTGAATGTTGGCAAGCAAAACTCCTTCCGTCATTTTCTTTTGTTCTTATAATGGTGCTTAATTTGAGTTTAGACCAAACATGCAGAGATTTGGTGATCTGAAAGAGAGAAAGTTACTTGTTAATTCCATATTTATTTGTACATTGGTCATGTAAGATTATGAAATATTACATTTTTTGATTTGAATTAATTTGATTTTTTTTTTTCCCTCACTGAGCTCAGGAGTTGGAAAGACAGTTGATAGCTGATTATGATGCTAATAGTTTCAAGTTTCCTTACTAAAAGCCCACCCAAGTAATGGAGAGAAATAGATAAAATACAAGACAATATTAGAGGAAAACACAATGGAAAAATCAAAGTGGAGTAAAGGTTGCTGAGGCAGTATAAACCCCACAATCCAAAAATTACACTGTGAGAGAAAGGAATTAAGGGAAGTAGGAATCAGACAAGAAAAGCACCACATTCAAAAAGAAAGTGAAAAGGGGTGTGAAAAAAGAAAAGTCAAAATTTTTAACGTGTGGACAGAGGCAAGACTATATGCAAAGAAACCCAAATTTTCAGCATGGGGACACTGTATTTTGGTGAACTTCCTGATACAATTTGCTAATCTGAATTTACAGATACAGCTAGAACAAAATACTACTGATTCTGCCTTTTCCTTTTCAGCCTGTTGCTCTTATTCCCAAGATAAGAGGAACCTTTATAGGTCCTTGACAAATGACTGAAAAACACATCTGTGCTGTCCTTCACAATCAGCCAAGCAGGGGCCACTGAACTGTTATAGAAAACTACCTCGTGCAGTGAATATGAAACACTCAAAACACTACAGACACATAAAATGCAGTACCTTGACTGAATCTTCTGCACTTTCCCGTAGTACCCTACAGAAGTCATTCAGGACACTCCTAATTTCTGTGGTTTCCAAATGCTCTTGACTGTCATTCTTCTCTTCAGATTTTCACCTTCAGCCTAATTAACATTCCATATTGCATTTTCACACAAGTTCCAAGGCTGCTCTTTAGGTTTTGATTACATAATCACATTTAATGTAGTAGATATCTTCACGTGTGAGTATCTTCATATCCTGAATACAGCCTTGAAAGATGGATCTTATGGATGGATTGATGCTGAGTCACCATGTTCCTGGTGAGCAACTCATTCTGCCTCAGAGCAAGACCTCTACAGAGGGCATTGGAGAAGGTAACTGGCATTCAGACTTCTCACTGAGATTTTTTGCCTGCCCTGAGGCAGCATTTGGAGGAGACCGTGATGCTTGGTGCTGTACAAATGTGACAAAAAGTTCAATAATGGTTATATCAACCCCATGATGGCGCAATGGTGATGGAGACCACATGTATTTTGCAAGAGAATTCATGAAGAGGTAGAGCAGTGGGAAGAACACTCAAAATTTCCTAATTACTGAAATGCTAAGAGATTAATGAGCTCACTGGGGAAGAGAGGCCTTCAGAGAAACCTGCAACAGATGCTATAACATACACAGAAAATTACTGCATTTAAATAAGCCCCTCTAAGAAAGTAACATGGATAAACTCTACAAAGAGCCACAAACTTCCTATGAATACTGACATACAAAATAAGGTAACTTGTCCTGGAGAGCATTCCCTGCAAAAGACAGATGTTAGGGATCACTGCACATGCTCAAATATACCAGTTAATTCAAAGTGATCAACCAACTTCCTCCTGAAATGAAAACAAATGTAAAATTGAAAAAGACATGCAAGATTTGATTTAGAGTCTTTCTTCCATGAAGAACCATGGTGTTCACAAATCATTTTCACATAGTCTTGTATTCATTCAAATATATCTTCAGTTGTATTTCTCAAGGTGGCTAAAACTTGGAAATTAACGAAAGAAGGTTGACTCTTCTCCACAGTGCAGCAAGCCCAGGCAATCCTATAAAATCAGTGTTCTATCAGCTCATTTATATATATGCTATGCAAGCAAAATCTCACCTGTCATGGTGTCTTTCCTAGAAGTGTGTTCTCCCTTGCTTCCATGGTAAGTGGCGTTAGTTCCAGTTGATTCATAGTCTGTTTTTCTTTCTTTTAGGCTGATCATTTCCCGAGGTGAGGCTGGGGCACTTGCTAGATAACAAAAATGGATTTTTTCTTTTTCTAATCATACATGACTGAAAGTAGGGTTTAACTCTTGAGTAAGCATTCCTGTAAAGTTTACATCTGTTAGTTTTCTAACATAAAGCTGATTGAAGAAACACTACCACATTATGGAGGCAAAGAAGAGATGCTGCTATTTCAAGGACAAGGCAAATGTATTTACTGGACAATCAACTGCAAACATAATTTTATTTCTAATTGTTAAATTTCTTTTTACTTACATCCAACATCTAAGATGATTGCTATTAAAGAACAAAAGTACAACAATTTTTTTTTTCTCCTTTTGCTTTTCAGTTTCTTTAACTTGTCAAAACTTTCTGGTATGGGCACTTCCAATTTTTCCTCAAAATGGTTACTTTATTTCCATTGAAAAGACTGTTAACTTTCAACTGTGTGGGAAAAACCCTTATAAAATTATTTTCTTCCCTTTTCTCTTGAAATAAACCAATTAAATTATTTGAATGGAAAAGGGAAGAAAAGAACGCCTTCTTCCTCCTAGAAAACAGGTATCAAAGAATGCCTAACAGTTAAAGGTAACTGAAATAATTTCTCTGTCTTTAAACAGCTATATGTGTGAATAACTGCCATTAAAACAACAACTGCTACTTTAAGCTATTTTTGTAAAAACTAAGTCCTTCATCACCTATACTCAAGGTACAGATAGAAGGCGGAAAGCACAGGTAGCACAAAAGAGAACTGGGTTTTGTACTCAAGTCTCACACACTGGAGAATGTGGAAGTGATCACTGTCACTGATCATGAAGCCTTAGAGCTTGCAATGCATAGGAAAAGGAGAAAAGCAAAGGAAAAAAATAATGGCTTTCAAGTGAACTGACTTCAATATATTTAGGTACTGGTAAATAAAGTGCACTTTCCCTTTTGTGGAGGGCAGGAGGAGCACAGGGTGAGTGGCAGAGCTCCCCAGAGCCTCGCAAGGGCACAGTGGCCTAAACATTACTAAAGTACTGGCGCTTGCCCCTACACACTTCCCTGCCTCCATCCAGGTATTTGCTATGTAAAAAGAAGCTCAAAACCAGTAACAATCCCTTTGTTTATAAACAGAGAAAAGAAAAAAAATTGAAAAATGTAGTACAAAGTCTTTGGGAAGATTGACCTTGAGGCATATCTTCCAGCATCTCTAAACTATGTTATATTTTTTAGTTGAGCAACAGTGAAGTACTTGCATTCAACTATGGAGTAGGGAAGCACAAGTGATGTTGAATTCTGCTTCGATTGGTTTTGCTGGCCCTAGCCTCTGAATTTACAGAGCAAATGCGGGACAGATGTTCTTTCTTGTGAAGCCATTAGAATTGGGGATTGCTTTTAAACTGTTTGCCAATAGTGATGTAAATCTAAAGCCGATAATCCAGCAGATATAAAGAAACATGACGTTAAACCACCAAATCAGCTAATGGCAGCTTGAGTCTAATGGGGAGAGGGCCAGAATGCAAACCTTGAAAAAGCTGCTAGCAGAGGGACACATTTTGTTTCACATGCTCTGGTAATGGTTATAAACACTCTGGTGTTTTGAACAAAATTGACTGATACAGATAAAATCATCTGTCTCTGTTCCCTGTGGGAATTCCCTCGCTCTTCCCATGAGAGGAAAACTACTTTCTGGAAAGCATTAAAATGCAGAATCAACCCTCTTTCAGAGTTTTTACTGGAAGCAAAGATGAAGACTTTGGTTGATATTAGACTGAAAAGTAATAGAATGTTTTTCTGCTCTTATTCTTAAAGGACACAGAAAAGCCTTTTATCACCCAGTCCTAGGGATGGATGGGATGGTGTGAGTTCATTTACTTCAACTCTTTACCCCAAGGTAGGATCCAGTATACCAACATAATTCTTGACAGATTTTAATCTGGAGTTAAAGATCTCTAATGACAGAGATCACATAACTGCTCCAAGCACTCTGTTCAGTGCTTTCTTTCCCCACTGCTAGGAAATGTCTAGCCTGACTCCTTGCTGCTCATTATTTCCATTTGTCTGCTATGAAAGCAGAAAAAGTTCACACCATTCCTCTTCATGGCTGGCTGTTACATTCTTGAAGACTTGGTGTGTACCTCTTCCCACTGTCTGCATCTCATGTTCCTTTTACTTGAGTTAAACAATTACAGTCATTCAGTATGTTCTCATATCCTAATTTTTCCACCTTCCAATTCATGTGTGCAACTGACAAAAATAGCCAGATAATTTCTAAAGAACTTTAGAAATTAGGAACATCACCTAGTCAGACATTCTCCTTATAACTTATTTTTAAAGGACTGGTTATTTTTTTCCTTTTGAACATTACCTCCAATTTCTCAGGATCACTTTGAATTTCAATAATGCCCATCAAAGAACATGAGTGTCTCCCAGGTTTATGTCACCACAAAGTTAATAGGTAACTTTTGTATATTACTAAAACCACTGAAAGGTACTGGACCCAAGCTAGGCTCTAAGCATAGCATTCTGCCATTTTGGCAATATACAATACCCTTTCCTTGTGAATGGTTTTCAGTAAGTTTTTTTTTTACCACATAGGATGTCTTCTGAACTGTTGGCTAGCTTGCCTTAGGCTTTTCCATAAAAACGTTGTGTGAAAGAGTTTTACTGATCATAGGATATTGTACTTACTGACTTTTCTTTCTGCAAATTCTTGTAGCAGGAATTCAGATGGATTTAATAAGAGCAATTGGTATTGAATCAATGGTTGCATTTGATATGGATACTACCAGACATAGAGCAACTTACATTATTATGTAGAAATAGATACTCCTACAGCTAAGTAATATCTTATGTTCCTACTACCTTTGAGCTGTTCAGGTTCTGATTATTTGTTCCAACAATTTTCTAGACTGACATTGAGCTGACTGGTATGTAATGACATGGGCTCTTCTTCCTTCAGAAACAGCCACTATTATTTCTGCTTTTCCAGTCTTACGATAACTGAGGACGGCAGTAAAATTTCATCCAAAATTTAGAGCAACAGAAGTGAGAAGATGGCTCTGGCAAGAGACAGAACTAAGATCTCAGGGCTGGACATTTCAAGTACCTTGCACTTACAGTCAAGATGAGATTTTAGAGAAGAAAAAAAGGAACAAGAGCCCTTTATGGACTTGTGTAATGGCAGATTTTAAAAACAGAGTAGCAGCTTTCACTGTACTTCTGGCTACATTTTCACATCTCCTCAATTGTTTTTCTGCAGGACTAAGATGCAGCTTCTAGATAATTAACACAACAATTTTCTTGGAAAAAAAACCTATGGCATAATGCTAATAATAAGTTTGGCAATTTTAATCCTAAACCATTTGTGTACCTATGGAATGACAGCATTTGATTGAACAAGCAGCAGAAAGGCCACTGAAAGACTGCCAGTGCACTCTGTTTATCTTGAAAATTTTTCACCGGGAATGGCTTTATCTAATGAAGGTATGTTTTAAGTGAGGGAAAGATTATCCAATTTCTAGAGAGAAAAATTAATTTGCACTATGGCATTAGTTGATATACTTACATTAGTTCATTGTGCAGATCATATAAAATTGATAATAGCTGCTGTAATATATGCTATTAATGTTAGGAAGATGTGTAGACAAATCTTGAAACTTACATTTGCTTATGTATACACACATACACAGAATAAAAGCTGACAAAAAAAGTAATTTGGGTCTTTAAACTCCTGCTAAGTGTGCAAAATGGTCATAAACCACATAGTGGCTTTCATGACTAGCAAAGTGAGCAACAGAATTTCCTGGTGGTACCAATGGATGCCATTGCCCTGGGATCTAGTCAGGTAATCCTAATATCAAGAAAACATATTGGGAGAATTTATGACAAAACGTTATGGAATAATCTTTCTTCTGTAAAACTTTATGAGGTGCTAATGAAAAAATAATTAAATCCTGTTTTGACCAAGTAATTTGGTTACAGTAAAGAATACACAACAAATCCAGACGCCAGGGAAAATGACAGTGATGGATTTTTACCTGTGCCTTTGCTTGGGCCTGGCCTTACCTGAGCGGTTGTTGGGAGACATGCGCACGGGAGAGATGGAGGGCGTGCGGGATGAGGAGTACGGTCTTTGCCGATCCCTTTCTATTGTTGAAGATGAGGCTACAAAGTGATACTGTGACCATCCGTCCTGCAACACCAAGAATGGTGACAATGGTCAGTGAAAACGCCACACGGCTCACTGCTTTAAGCTGAGTATTTTTCTCTGGTGTTTTCACTATGGATACACTGGTAGGCTGCTGTCTTCTTCCTGCCACTGGGTGGTAAGTATAGTTAGTGGTACAGGATAGGATGTGCTGACTGTACTGACACAGCAAGATTAAAAATAAATGGAGAAAGTTCTATAAAATAACACATCTCAGAAAGACTCAAATTATTAACACTGTTTTAGGATATTTGTTTAATAGTTCTGCCTTTTTTTCCAAACCTAAATTTTCACATTGCAAACAGCATTGGCTTGAAATATTTTTGTTTGCTTGTTGCTTGAAACATTTCATTCTGGCTTGAAATATTTTTCATTTATATGGAGTTTTGGAATAAGTAGATTGGGAAGTTCCAGGATTACCAACCCTCTTTTTCTCTCGTGCTCGCACATGAGAGAAAAAGAATCAATGCATTTTGTTCCAGCTTTGTTCAAGGCATACAGAATGAAATTCTATTCCTTCTATTTAAAACTCTGTTCATGGTGATGTATTAAAAATCTGCAACAAAGTAATACAATTACTAAAAACAGCTAGTTCAAAAATAAAAAAGGAAAGTTTAAATACTTCATGGTTTATTCCTGCACCATAACATAATGCAATAAATCAAAATAACGTACTTCACATTTTTAAAAACGTATTATGTATAGTCTGAAACTATCATGAGAGCATAAACTGATTTCTGGTAGTGTTCTTATTAAACGACAGTATTTCAACTGCCTTCAGTATTGATAGATTGCAACTGTCTTTATTAGTTCTTAATGTTAAATCTAAATCAGTAACACTGAGATTTCCAGTCTCACACAGTTTTAAAAATGCCCACTTTCTGTTGGGCTCAGGGGAAATTAAGTCAAGCACCAGGCATGGTGCTAAATAGAAGTTTTGCAACAAAATGCTGAAAAAAATAAACACAATAAAACATTACCAAAAACCAGCTGGAATTTTCCTCTTGCTCAGAGAAGAATAATTCATGGTTGGGGTAGTAAAGACTATTCTCACCCCCTAACTCAGCTATTCCACACATCCAGCAATGAATTCCACACATCCAGCAATGAATTCCACACATCCAGCAAAGTGCCTTTGCTCAAGGTATCTGACTTTTTTTCCACCCCCAGAAACCATGGGCACCTGGCTCTCAGAAGAAGAGAAGATGGGTTGAAAATCCCCCTTCCACAAGACTCTTAGAAAAGAGGACTCATCAAGACTGTGACACAGCAGGAGGAAAGAAGATACACTTCTTGTAGAGGGAAATTTTATATACAACTCAGGACAGCCAGAGGTGACACCTAACTATGGGTGCTGAAGGACTGTATTTCTCATGTAATGCATTTTACAAACAGGGGTGTAACTCAGCTGCAATTTCAAAGACAAAAATGAGGAAGAATGAAATCTGGGCTATGGCATTTACAGTACAGTCAGGACTTTCCCTGGAGTCAGCAGTGACTGCTTGTCCTCTATTGCTCCTGTTTAAGACACTTCACTGAACTGCACCTCATATTTAATCACAGTCATATAAGAAAATATAAGGGAGAAATCTTGTTAATTAATAAAAATTAGTAACTTGAAAAAAGAAATACTTGATCTTTAATACAACTTCTTCTAATATAACAGAATTAATTTCTGTTAAACCAAAATTTTCTATATACAACATTTCCAATCTATATCCCATCTCCAAAAAGAAGTTTCTACACAAACCACATCCTCCAAGCTAGAGGGAGGGCTCATGATAATGGAAGAAAAAAATCTGTGAAGCCCTAACTTCTTAAATCAAATTGGAAACTACTATACATTATATGTACATATATATAAAATACATGTATTTTAAAGAACACATAATATAATTAGAGCTGTAATGAATAGTTTAAGTCAAATAATCTTATCCAAGACTACAAGTAACACATATAGCCTTATTTTTTGTGTCTGGTTGACAATAACTTGTGCATTCATTTCTCTGTTATGAAACTGAAGGAGCAAACATGTTAGAAGCCCATGCCTTTATCCTGATGAAGAAAAATGGTTCTTCTTTCTCCTTCTCTGGGGTTAAGAATTTCTTACAAGAAAGGTGACTGTATCTCAAGCTGTTGTAATTTTCTACAAAAGAATTAATTTCTGTTAAAAAGAAATTTTCTTTTAAACAGACGGAAGAAGGGGAAGCTATGAAGAGGACAGACTTTAGATCTGACAAAAGGAAAAGGGATGCACTCACTATTCATTACTCTCTGCCTGCAAAAGAAGAGGCATCAACCATGCTTTCATAGAGCAAGGTAGAAATGTTTTGAGTTTTGTGGATTTGGATACAGTTATGGCCAAGTATACTCTCCTTTTGCACTCTTGCTTTCCTCAAGCAAAACCCTGGCATATTGTTCAGTAAAATTTGACAGGAGTCTTCCCCTAAGTCTTTCTTACTGTTTCCTATTTCATTGGTGTTGTATACATTAATACCTGCAGCCTGCTTCTGACAGGAAGCAGATGAAATAAATCCCTGACACCGGCACCGTCCCACGGACATTGCAGGAACAGCAGATGGCACCAGTTTGACTGTGCAGGATATCAACAGGTGCTTTGTCAGTGCTGCTTCCTCAGACACAGCACTGTGAGGTGCCTGAGCAGCAAGGAGAGCTGCTTGGATGCTGGCACCAGCAGTCTTTTTCTGCAGTGGAGGCTTTCCCTTCTTCTCTTCCCTGCAAATTTTCATTTTTCTCTCTGGTGACAATAGTGCTTATAATGAGGTCTTTAAATAAATTCTGCTACAAACTCTCAAGCTGGCAAGCCAAATCAGCTCAATAAGACAAGTGAGGCAAACAATAAACTCTAAGGCAAGTTTTGTACTGGCTTGGCATTGCCTTTGACTAAACAAGGCGTACACCTATCACTGTATGACAACTTTCATGGTGTTTTTCCACAGACTGCAGGCAGCTCCCAGACCTCACAGTATTTCAAAACCCTAATACTTTCAAGTTATTTATCCTTAGCTCTCTTCTGGAGCAAGCAACAAGCTTCTTTCCTTGAAAAGGTAAACAGTTTGTAACAAATTTATTAAAACTATACCCATTAATGATTCCAAAAGCTATTAGTATTAAATATTGAAACTAATTTTTAAGAGCCTAAAGGGGGTATTTTCAATTTAATGGCTAGATAAATACCACCTGACATGATGGCTGCTTTCATTATTTTGTTTCAGGTCTACTGCCTGTAATGAAATTTAATTAAATTGACTTGGATACTTAAAGGTACAGTATACAGCAGTGTCCTGAAGAGAAGAAAGCTAACTCAAGACCAAAGTATGTGAGGCTGAATTTAAGAAACCAATTTACTAGCCACAAATGTGATCTAGGAGAGGAAGAGTAAGACAAAAGGATTTGACAAATTGGAAAGCAATTCAATGCAATTCTGTTACAGAATGGATATATTTTTTAAATGCAATGTTAAATGTATTTCATTAAATTAATTAATAGGTGGCAACTGCACATTACAGGACAGAGAACAACCAGAGTACAGAAATATCATTATACATCTTTCCAACACATGTCCTACTGGGCATTTGTCTATATTTTGACTATAGTGAATATATCCATTATACTATTATATCAATTATACTTTATAAATTCCAAATACTAAAGCTTGTTTGGTAGTGACTAGTTTCTGACAAGATCCTCTTGGACAAGCTGCAGGATTAAAACTGGGATGGGAGTTGGATGATTGCTATAGAAAATGAAAGTGATATTGTAGTCTCTCTGAATACTTTTTACTGGGCTTATGGGGTGAACAGGTTCTTTATCTCCCTACTCAACTTTCAGTCATTTTGAAAAGAAATCATTTTCATCAGGCCCATGTGAAAATAATTATTTTGTCAGGATGATTAATCTTATTGCACCAAACACCTATTGCATGTGTCTCATGAAAATATTTTTTTTTTTTCTTTCTTTCTTTCTTTCTTTCCTTGATATTCTCTTTGTGTTTAAAATGTAAGGACGAAATGGGAATCAGATTTCTATTGTGTTTGCAAGAATTTCAAATCTTCAGAAGTCACTGGTAGGGGAGTCTTTGATTTGAGGAGAAGATTTGTGGAGGTGGATGATAACAGACACACCATTTTCTCTCTTGTAGTACAGTGTCATTGTGAAGACTGAATTAAATTAAGTCCTGATGGCAACTGACAACCTGTTGACCCAACAGTTCCCAACAGGAACAAGGAAAGTCCAGGAGTCAGGAAGGCTACGGTGCCTAACCTGGATACCTCACAGCATCCACTCAGAAAGAAATCCCACAACAGTCCATGTGCTAATAGTCACGCAGCAAAAGTGAAAACAAGCCCTATCCTCTGACTGATCAACTTCTATAAGAAGACACTGACTTGAAAAGCACTGAGTGCTCTAGAAGAACTGTACGAGGTATGATGGCTGTGTGATGGCTCAGTATCTTCCAGTGTTGAAGAGCACAGTCTGCTCTGACTCCTGGCCATGGTTGTTTGAACATTGTCAGGAATAGAGAAGAGCAACTTCCTGTAAATGGGAAATTTCTAGTAGAGAAAAAAAAATTTAAATGATGCAAAAAATCCCATAAAAACCAGCTAAAGCCTGAAAAACTATAGATAATGTTGTGTCCTACCTTCCTGAAATTTACAACCTTGCCAGCATGCTACTTCTTGCTTCAGGTCTGATCCTCTTGTAACCTAATTTAATAGACATTTTACAGACAACTTGAAGCACACAGAACCAGACTTGCTTCATCATCCTACTTCCTTATCCATAACTCAAATTTTCACTGGTTCCAGGATATTAATTGAAGTAATAACTGCTCTCTTAATGATTATAAGCTGTAGAAATGTGAAGTTTTGGTAGATAACCTCTTGCAGGGATCAGAAACTAGACTCACTGTGGTATTAGAAGTAGGTGACACAGCAGCAAGGCAAAGTGCCTGTAAGTATGTA